CTTTTATAAATGAGAACTATGAAAATAATCATGCTGAAATATATCATTTTAAATTATGATTCGATAATTCCACCCCCCCCCACCGCTCATTAAAAATATTTTTCCAATAACCCCACCCATCCAATCAGGCTAGATTCTGTGCTGGCTTTTATAACTTGTGCAACTCCATTGAAAGCTGTTAAGTCATTCTGCATAGAATTTGACCTATACTCTCAAAATAATCAACAGCCTGCACGACCCATTAGAGTTTTCAGCATCCTAATGAGATGATAATCCTACCCTTTCCCCTAAAATAAACATTAGTCTCTGATGTATTCCAGGTCCTTCTTAAACACCTACCTCATTACAGCTGATAGAATTGACTTGTATATAACTACCTGTTGATCCTCCCAATGTCTACTTCTATCTGTCCTCAAATCGGCCTTTCCCAAACTTTTGAAAGTTGAGCCCATCTTCAGAAAAGTTCAGCCAATCTCTTCCCCATCCCCTTTTTGCCTCACTAATGCGGGTGTATTCCTCTTAATTTATACATCTTCTGTGCTCCTCTCCTTCTCCAACTAGTCCTTTGTGCTCCTAGGCACCTGTACTGCATCCTTTGGGAAATGCTACCTTAGGCCGGGGTTCTCACAACAAATTTTTTGGTGGCCTCAGAGAGTGGCCACCAACTTTTGCTGGTGGCCACTCTGACAATTTTCCTAAAATACTTACTTAACTTTAGGGAAAACAAATAAATATGCACATATACATGTCCAAATCATTGTAATTAATCTATGTAGGGTTGTTGTTTTTTTGCAGACTCAATAATAAAAATAATTACAGTTGGCTCTATTTACTGGACATAAAGAGAACAGAAACACAGATAAGGTGCTTTGCACCTTCTTGTCTTTTTTCTTGTTTCTTTTGCTTTTATGGCTGCCTTTAAAAAAAAAAAAAAAAAAAACTTGTTCGTTACTAAGTCTGCTGTGAAAAGTTGATATTAACAAGCATACAAATATCACTTTTCACAGCAGGCTTACTCAGCAAGCCCAGGGACAAATTAAGCCCTGGATGGGGAGGTGGGTACAGAGGCATCAGGTGCAATGGGTCACTGCCGGAGGAACAGTGGCCGGGGTAATGGCGGGGGAGGGAGGAGCTCAGGGCAAGATCCCGCCACCGTGCAGCCAGGGAACGGAGCCCAAAGGCCCATGCCCAGGGAATAGGGCCCAGGGACGGAGCCTGAAGTCCTGTGGCTGGAGCCTGCCACCCACCACCCCAGAGATGAAGACTGACCCCACCGCCCTGGGGAAGGTGGGGAACTCACTGGCTGCCTGCTCCTCCAGCTTTTGTGTCTCCAGAGTGGGGCAGGGCCCAATCACTGCTGGTGGCCCCAGGGGAGGGGCAGCTGCCTTGCCCTGCAACCACTGTCCAGGAGGCTGTGGCCACAAGAAAAGCTCCCGGTGGCAGCATTGGAGAAATGCTGCCTTAAGCTATGAGCCACTTGGAGGAGGGACCATGTCTTCGAGTGTTTGGAAAGTACCTGGCACGTGGTGGGTGCTAACGCAAATAAAGATTAGAGCTGGTTGAAAAATATCAGTACCTTTTTGTGGGAAAATTTCCTTTATTTTTCCTTTTCATCAAAATTTCCCATGAAAAGTTGTCAGTTTTCAATGTAAAACCAAAACCTGAGCATTTAATTTTAATTTCAAAAAATCAGTGTTTTTGAAAACAAAAACGTTTTACCAAAGTAAATATTGGCTTTTGTGTGTTGGGTGAAAATCAGGGAAACATTTTTTGTTAAATTTTGTGGAAATTTTAATTTTTTTTTTTTTTTTGGACAAAGCAGTTTTTTCCTGCAAACGTACTTTTTGACCAAAAATGTCAATCAGCTCTAATAAACAGCAATACACAAATCATATGTAGTGGACCCAAAGCCTGCTGGTTGTACTAAAACACGGAATCTTACTGACCCCAAAGGGTGAGCAGCAAAGCATTTTGAATCAGTTTGGAATTGCTTTAATCTTCAGTGCAGAGAGAGTTTAGATGGGAGTGTTGCATTTTTGCAAAGCTCCCTAGCTTCACATTGGCCCCATATTTTTATAAAAACAAGGAATTTTATTAATTTAAAACCCTTTCAATAAAGGTTGCTAACTAATGTTAATAAAAGTTAGCAGTGACCCCTAGTGGATAGAGCACTGAAATAGGAGTTAGGAGAGCTAGCTTCTATTTCTCCCTCTGCCACTGAGCTGTTGCATGACCTTGGGCAACTCACTTCCCTCTTTGTGGAGAGGATGAGAGAACAAATCTTATATGACTGATGCTAGTCGTGTCACTTAACTAGGCTTGGAAAGATCTGAGTTTTGTCGGTAAATTTTTTATTGATTTCACCACACAAAGTGACAAAAAAAATTTCAATTGAAGAGAACTTCTTAGAGTTTGATTTAAGGATATTTACGATGTATATTTTGACGTGATGTTGACAATTTTTGTTTCAACGGTTATAAAGCTTTAACTTCTTGAATCTCAGCATCTACTGTCATTAAACAATTACCTGACCCCCCCCTCCGTAATGTCAAGCAACTGTGAAAATTCAAATTGATAAAAAATAAATGCATAAAAATAAATCAGTACTATCTGTTGAAATTATAAACAAATAAAAATTGAATTCTGCCAAGCCTACGCATGCATGAGTGGAAGTGGTTCAGATACTATGGTGATGATGGTGGCACAAGAACAGATATAGAATAGAAAAACATTAAAGTTGAAACATATGCATGCGAAGGAATGTAACACTTAAATGCTTAAGTGTGAATCAGATCTTATTTGAGAGGTTCAAACAGCTAACTCCCCTTTTTTTCAATGTAACTTTTCATAGGCCTCTCTACTTTTGTGTCTTATGTGGGACATGATCTTGGGTGAAGGCTGTGGATAGAACTTCAGAAACTAAATGTTGTGGGAGTGGTTCTGGTTTCAGGACCCAGGATATTCCCTTTCTTGGTCCCTTGGAAGTTTTCTGGTGGGTGCTCAGTGTACAGGGCCTTGAATCTTTTGGAGACTTTCCTGGGGTTCACCCGATTGTAACAGACTTTTAGAAGGTGGACATCCTTACCACACTTACAGCAGAAGTGTGAGGGATCCTAGGGAGGATGATCTTGTCAGGAGTGGTCATCTCATGCTCTCAGCCTCTATGGAAATAGTCTCTCTCTCTCTTGGTCAGGTGGACAGGTTCCTCAACTTTTGGTCATCTGAGAGGGTGGCACATTATTTTCTGGGGGTCTCATGGACAGGACGGCTACTTTCCTTTGGAGTTCTGCCAGATGTTTCTTCATAAGCATGGTGTCAGACTCTGGTTCATCCCTGACAGCTTCAAGGGCTCTCACTCTCACAGAAGTTCCTCTAGTTGGGCTCTTGGGAGTCTTTCAAAGACCGTACACTGTTCACAAGCCAAAAAAAAAAAAAATTTTTTTTTTTTTTTTTACAACTATGTATAACAGCTCCCCCTGGTGACTCCGGCCATAACAATAATACTGAACTTAAGGTGGTTTATGTGATTCCTGTTACATCATGGGTCATTGTTTGTGTAACTATAACCTGAAGCAATTGTTTCCAATTTCAGAAACCTCACAGCAGGCATTAGCATTAGCTAATTAGGCATTAGCCTAATTCTTGTCTATTGTTTTTAAGCGCTGTTGTGCTTTGAAAAGTGACTATGTAGAAGTAGAGACAAGATGGATGAGGGAATATCTTTTATTGGACCAACTACTGTTGGTGAGAGAGACCAGCTTTCGAGCTTACACAGAGTTCTTCTTCAGGTCCTGTTTCTTCAGGTCCTGAAGAAGACCTCTAATATCCTTGGACTGACACAGCTACGGCAACACTCCATATGTAAAAGTAGCACATTCTTACTCAACCAGTACTGTTCCCTGTGGGTATCTGGGATGTTATCTGCTTAATTTACTGCCCCACATAAGTATTCACTACTTGTCTCTCCTGTTTACCCGTGCTCGGCCGGAGCAGCTATGGGAGAGTGAGCAGGATTCTATTCCGGCTTGTGCATTGTCAACACAGTTATTGACTAAGTTCCAGTTGTGGAATCTTCATCAGCAGGAATGTGGAGACTAGAATGAATTAGTGGATTCGAGGCTGTGTTTGAGGAAGTGGTAGTTGGGAAAATAACTGTTTTTACGTGTACCGTGAGGCAATATGAGCAGGAGTCACAGAGGCAGAAAACCTGCTCTCTCACTATGCCATTTTTGCAGAGTCAGTTTTCGGTGCAGAACCACACTTTAATGTTTGGAGAAAGAGTGGCACAGTCACTTTGGTTCATTTGCTTTTTATTCGTGGTTGTTCTGCAAATGTCCTTGGTCAAGGAAGCCGAGCCTAAAATGAGCTTTTTTTCCCATAAACCCTGTTACTGATCTGATGTATCTGAAAGGGAATTCCTCTTTTTTTTTTTAAGGAGACACTTGTAACACAGATACACTTTGCCAACAGCCTGTTCTCCTGTCTCTGTTTAACAGCTCTCACTTGGCTCTAGGATGCACACTTGAGAAGCAGTCCTGACGAATCCTGGCACCACAGCCTGTTACACACAGACACACACACATACACACTCACACCTCTGCCGATTTTTTTTGTTTTTCCTCTTTGGATGGGCCGATTGAGTCCCTAGAACTATGCCCTTTCGCCTCTCTACCAGATGAAATTTAATCTCTCCAGTAAGTGACACCCAGGGCTATTTTGGAGCTGGGAGGCAGAAGGAGAGCAAAGCACGTCAGCAATTCGAGTGGAGGAGGACAGCCAGGGGGAGGGGTGGGGCTGGGGCTGGGGGTGACACAGCCTACACCCCAAGCAGTGGAGACACTGCAGGGGGACTGGGGGACCTTTTACTGCACGTTCGAACCATCGTTGAGGTTTCTGTTTTATTTGCTGGAAGGGAGGGGGGACCAAAATCCAGATGGTCTCCCCATGTCCCCGACACCTCTTCCCCCCCCTTTTCCCCGTGTGTGTCTCAGTAAGGATCTGCTTTCCCTCACCCCGATGAGAGCCGCTTGCCGTCTCAGACTCTGACAAGACTTCAGGTAAGGTCCTGAGGGTGTATAGGAGGGAACAGCTCATCTGAGGTAGGCAGAGGGACTTGTTCATGGCTGAGGGAGGAAGGAGGTGATTTCAGAGTCCTCATTAATTACATCTGAGTGTCTACTGCCTTGTTAAAGGCATTTGAGGTGAAGGACGACAGAGCTGAAGGTCAAAGAGACATTGGCCTGAGCAGTATTTGGATTGTTTCACTGTATTATTTTACCTGGGTGACCAGGAGACTAAAGAACGGTCTCCAAAAGAGCTGTGGAAAGATGGAAAAAAGAGGGTTGGAGAGGTTACTTGCGGGGGATTATTTTTGACCTTCGTAGCTGGTGGATGTCAACCTGTGTGACAGATGGGCTTGATGTTGGGGGTAGGGAAGCTGGGTGTTGGGAGGGAGTGATTTTATTTTATTTCATTTCCAAGGCATAAACCAAGTGTTGCTTTTCTCTTTAGTAAGTTTTGCACTGAGCTCCCCTCCGTCCCCATGTCGGTGCCAATTCAAGCTGCAACCCCCCACTCTCAGCTTGCATTTCTACAAATGGCTCTGAGGAGAGATGGAGTCCGACAGCTGGGGCTATTTTAGGACCTACAGCTCAGGGGGATGGAGCGGGAGCGATGGCAATGACATCCACCTTTTAAAATACAGGCGTGTTTCTGGAGAAGCCGTAATGCCATTGTCACAAAGGGGATTTTTCTTTGTGTGTGTGTGTGTGTGTGTGTCTTTTTTGTTTTGTTTTGAGAATGATAAAACTTTCTGGGTGGCCTGGCTGTTTAAAAATGTTAAAAGGTTATTTCCATGAGATCTCATTACAGCTGGGTGTTAGCTGTAAATTTAAGGTGTGGATCTAAAGTAGTTTGGGATTGTTCAGACCTAGGGTTTTGGTTTGGGCCTATCCTTGTGTGTGATTGCCAAATTACAGTATTGCTAACCTCAAGCATTCCAAAATCATGAATCATCCACAAAAGAAAAATCCTGGCATTCTTAAAGTTGAGGATCTTTTCCTTGGTTTACTGGTTGCTGAATATTTAGTGTGCTTTAGGGTCACATTTGCAGTCTTTTTTTCTGCAACCACCAGAGCTAGAAAAGTACTGTTTTTAAAAATGAAAGCTGCAATTGCCACAATAATAGCTTGTCTCAGGAGCTGGGGCAGCAGGGAAACACCAAATAGTGCAAGACTTGTGATTAAAAATTATGAGGATTATGACTCCCATGAATTGCTAGTTATGACCCTGGCAAGGTGTGGTACGGTAGTATCCCTCTCCTCATCCCTCCCACTCTGCCCTGTTTTCCTCAGAGCCAAAGGGCAGGAATGATGATTCCCAAACTCCAAAAGCTCCAATATATTATCTTCTATTTATGCATCATTGTGTCAGCATGTGGGATGGCTGCAGTGCATGATTCTGTACAGAAAAATAAAAGGCATGGATCCTGCCTCAACAAGCAAGCTAAGGGCCTGGTCCTGCAAGATGCTGAGCGCTCATGGAAGTCAGTGGGAGTTGGTGCTGAGCACCTTGCAGGAGTGAGTTCCAAATTAGGTCCCAATCCTGAAATGAGGTCTGTGTGAGTGGAACCCTGCCCTTGCATGAAGCCTATTGCAGGATCAGGGCGGTTGAAGGACTGAGGGGGAAAGAACAATGGATGGAGAGGGATGAGGTTTTCAAAAAATAAGACCATCTAGGGCCCTGGTCCAGCAGATGAGCTTAGGTACCTGAATCATCTCATTGATGTCTATGGTCTGCTCACATGCTTAATGTTAAGCACATACTTAAGAGCATGTCTGATTTGAGATCTGGGGGTGTTGTTTCTGGAGTGTGCACACGTTGTGTTAGTTCTGGGGTTTTTTGTAATCTGTTGTTTAATTTAGTTGCACTCGATTAGTCATCAGAAATGTCCATGCTGCTCTGGCTCAGCAATAGAGGTTATTAAAGCTAAGGGGAAGGACATTCCATCCACTCACATTATCTGACCTTTGAGGATGCCAGGGGTTATGCTGTCCCTTACGACTGTGTAAATCTGTAGAAACTCAGTTGGCTTCAGTGGAGTTACTCCAATTTTAAACTGGCGCAACTGAGATGAAAATCCGGCCTCTCAGTTATGGATGCTTGTCCTGCTATGAAATGTTCACCAGTGAATTCTGCAACATTTAAGGCTTTTAGGGTAAAATTCAGCCCAGGTCAGATGATCTATGCATTCATCATTTAACTAAGGGTGTGAACGGTATACAGAGCCATCGGCAGGTCGTCTGCACTAGTGTGAATGTTATCCTTGCACATTCAGTCTGGTGTAATGTTTGGCCATGTCCATTGATTATGGAGCCACTTGAATAGCTCCGTAGTTAAATTTGCAGCTGGCGTGGAATGCTTGCCCTGGGGATCTCTCTGTTTGTTTAGTAAAGCTAGCTCATTCCCTGGGAGATCATGAAAGGTAACAGGGCAGCCGGATCACTGCAGTTTGCCATTAGCAGCTCTTCTATAGACTTCAATGGAAATTAGTGTTTCCCTGCTTTGTTGCCCATATAACTTTTCTTCCCAGTTCAATATTTTTATGATGCGTTTCTTTTATATAAAACAATTGTTGCATGTAAATCACAGAATAACAGTATTGCCAACTCTCTTTATTTTATTTTATCTGATGACATTTGGGGTGTTTTTTTTCTGAAAGGCCCAGCTCCCAGATTCAGGTTATTACATGACAGGTTTCAGAGTAGCAGCCGTGTTACTCTATATTCCCAAAAAGAACAGGAGGACTTGTGGCACCTTAGAGACTAACCAATTTATTTGAGCATAAGCTTTCGTGAGCTACAGCTCACTATCGTTTTTTTGTTTGTTTTTTTAAAGTAAGTTTCTAGCCCTCATTACTGCAGAGTAAAGCTTGGAAATATTACCTCCAAAGTCTCAAAAGCTAGAAGGCACAGAAAAAGGCACCAAATTTAATATTTTACAAATATGATTTTTAAACGTTTGGGATTGTCATTAGTGTTGTACGTTCTAACATAGAGTGGTAAAGAAAAAACAATTATTGCTGTCCTCAGTCAAACTTAACTTCCATAATGACAGGTTTTAGAGTAGCAGCCGTGTTAGTCTGTATTCGCAAAAAGAAAAGGAGTACTTGTGGCTAGTCTCTAAGGTGCCACAAGTACTCCTTTTCTTTTAACTTCCATTGTCTTTTTAAAGGACAGAGTGAAAGCTGACTCAGAATTTCAGGATGTGACCCATATGTAGCAATCTACATGGAACTTGGAGGGAGGAGCACAGGTCACAGGAAGGAAGAGTTTGGAGGAAGTACCCGGAAGTCAGTCTCTGGGCACATGGTTAGAATGCTCGCTGCAGCTATAGCACCTGCGTAAATAGTTCTCTTAATAAAGAGCCAGTTTAGCTTTAGAATCACAAAGTCTTCTCATGTTACTACCCAGCATGTGGTACATAAAACATGGTGGCACTAGCCAGCCTAGTGAGACTGACAGCAAGGAAGAGAGTGTGACTAACAATCAAACAAAGCAGCATCTGGAAACAGAGCAAACTGGCAGCATGGAGGGACTCAGGTCATCAGGAAGTGCCATTTTCTGGCAACACCTCTGGTTTTGGCTAAGATTTTACCTTACATAGTTAGGTTCAGAAATCCACCTAACACCTGCCTAACGTTGTTAAAGCTACTGATTACAAATGTGCATAACATATACACAAATTTACCTCCCGATGAATTTTATTGGATATATAGTCCAGTCCTTACCACACCTCACAATCACATTTGTACCTGGTCACTATGATAGAGACCTTTTGGCTTTGTTGAATTCTGGGGCAAACCTCGGGTCTTGTATATGGTTGTCACATGGACCCTTTTCACTTTCCCTCCCTCAGTGTTTCCTCAGTTTTTCTGTGCTCTTCGCATGATGCACACAAAGGCTAGGAGTTTCAAAATGCCTCCGGTTTCAGAAGTACCTGGATTTTTGCTTGGACTTAATAGATTCATAGATGTGAAGGCTAGAAGGGTGATAATCTAATCTAACCTCTGTTAGGGGGCTTATTCCTTCACCCACTTACTTCCCTGGTCCTTCTCGCATGAACAGAGAGCAACAATACCCGAAGTCCAAAGGTGCAAACAATTCGATGTTTATTGGGGTGAACTTCCAGCAAGCATGATTCCAGTTTCCTTCCTTAGTATCCTCCTTCCCAGCTCTGACACCACAAAGCCTTACACCTGTGTCCCTGTTCCCATTCCTGCCCTTAGCCAAACATGATTCCAACTTCCTTACTCCCATTCCCTGTTCCCATTTCCCCCTTTAGCAAAACATGATTCCAATTTTCTTACCCCCATTCCCTGTTCCCATCTCCCCCTTTAGCAAAACATGATTCCAATGTTCTTACCCCCATTCCCTGTTCCCATCTCACACACCCACATGCCCACCCCCACCCCCACCCAGTCACTTCCTCATTGACTACAGATTATATAGTAAAATTTGAGTTCTGCTTAGCTATACCTTAACCAATCATTTTCCTGAAATTTAACTAACCAATCCTAACATATTGTAACATGATTATGTAACCAATTATATCCCACCACCTCAATTAGTTTACACCCAGCAAAATTAATTATACAGCAGACAGGAACAATCACAGAACCAGACAGAGATTATACAGACAAACAACAGCAAAGTGGGAACTATAATGACAAAACAATACAGAAGTGAGGATTTCACATCCCAGCTATTGATAAGTGAGTTCTTGCCAGACAGGATGCTATCAAACTAAGTTTCCTTTTACATTTTCTAGGCACTTCCCTTTCTCTGGAGGTGATAGGAATACAATCCTGTCCTGATAGTGCCTAACAGCCCAATAGCACCTTATTTCAATGTGACTAGTTTGGAATGTGAGGAGGTGACCGTTCGCTTCCCAGCTTATGGCTGCCTCTGCTGCTTAGCCAAAGGCCTGAGCCTAAGCACAGGGCCACAAACTGTCACAGTAAGAGAAGGCCCTTACACTGGCAGACAGTGGTTTTGAT